AAATTAAAAATAAGATGTGTACTTTACTTCTGAATAACCTCAGACTAGAAAGTATCTGTGATGAAACACTAAAATATATTCTTCAAGATGAATGGTAAGTGATGATCAGTAATGATAAGCAGTTACTAAAGCTGAAAATAATGCATCTAAAAATTAGACAAATAATGTATGAAATACAGCAAGATCTTTAAGACACAACCTGAAATAAAAAATATTCATGTTTTACAGAATATGAATGATGAGCCTCCTGTATGCAATCCACCACGTTTGGAAACTCAGATTTATTCCATTGTGAAGTGTCCTTTCATTCAGCTCAACTGTTCAGACATAGATCCTCCACAGGAACATCTGAGCTATTCAATTGTAGGAGGTAAGGCATACAATTTCAAAAACATTATTTCTCTGCTATTTTACAAGATTCATGTGAGATATTTTGTAACTGCTGGAAATATATCATCATGAAACATTTTAAAATAAAAATGTAAGACAATAGAAATCACAATACATAATGTAATTTTATTTCCTTTTTGTTACCTAATCATTCTCAGGAAATACAAATAATCAATTCACACTTCAGAGACTAGGTGTTGATCCTCCTTCTCTGGCCATCATGCAGAATTTCCAGTATGATGTATTTCAAGGGCTTCAGAGCCCTATGACTTTCCAGCTACTTACTGAAGTCACTGATGAATTAGGTGGGAATAAGGCTAGTCAGCTGTCAGCCACTACCACAGTCATAATTCATATACTTTCCTGGACCACAACACAGCCAACTTCTTCCACAAAAACAACTACAACTATAGTAAGTACTTAGTGAGGAAATATAATTCTAAAGTCATCTGAATTAGTCATAAACATAGAAAGTGCCTGGAACATCTCACGGGAGTTATCCTTGTGTTTTGGCAATGAAAGACATCAATAAAACAGTTATTTTAATACATTTGGATTCTCATCCTCAATGTAAGGAGAAATTATTGTAGCCATTAAAAATTAATTTTGAATCAAAGTAAATATAGCAATGTTAATCATTTTTATAGGCCCTTTTAACATTTAATTTAGAATTCTCAGTACATCTGTCAATTATCATTACAGTATACTTGTCTCTATTTACATTAGAACTTATAAAGGTTTATTATGTAAATAGCACTATATTGAGCTCATAAAATATTTAACAAGCTTGTTTTTTTGAAAAATATTCAGTCTTACTGGAAGACAAAATATACACTTTGAGTCAATTCAAGCTGCTTTAAGAAAATGCCACAGACTACATGATGTAAACAACAGACGCTTATTTCTCATAGTTCTGGAAGCTGGGAATTCCAATGTTAAGGTATCAGCACATGTAGAGTGTGGTAAATACCCTTTTCTCTGGTTCCTAGATGGCTATCTTCTCACTATGTTCCCACATGGTGAAAAGAGGGATAGACAACTCTCTGGGGTCTTTTTTATAAGGACTCTAATATCAATCATGAGGGCCCCACCCTCATGATCTAATTACCTCAGAAATGTCCCAGTTCCTAATACCATCACACTGAGGGGTTAGGATTTTAACACGTGAATTTTGAGGGAATGCAAACATTTAGTCCATAAGACATTTATTTAAAAAGTTAAAGAAAGCTCCTCCCATTGCTTGATTTAATAGTCAAGAAGTTTTGTGTTAGTTATACAAAATCAGTATAATACAAATTTGAATATTCCTGATCCAAGGGAAAAGAGTTGATTGGGGTTGTATAGGACTGGTCATTCTCCCAAGTGTCTCAAATAAGCAAATTAAAATTTTCTCTGTAACACAGTAACAGTATTCTAGGCTTCCAATTAGTCTGATAATTTTTCAATCCAATTAACATACCACATGATTAAATATAGCCAGGCACGTGAGAAGATAAGATACTATGACCAACTGAGAAGCAGCAGAACCACAAAAAGTAGAAACAGAAACACAGTGGCTGTAAGTAATGGATTATCAAACATAAACTCAATTATTATTAAGTACATGAAATGTAAATCAAGTATGAAACTTGGTTAGGGTGTTGAAGACTATAAAGGTAATAAAATATGTTAAACTATTTTAAATATATCTAGAAATTGAAAATAATAAAGAACTGAAGATATGTCAGAAGAAACTATCTAGAATAAGATATGGAAAGATAAAAATGATGGGAATTACTAAGGGAAAGGGAGGACATAAAATTGAGAAAGAGAAGAGCTCATTTATTTTAATTTGAGAGATGAGACAGCAAGAGGAAAAGAAGCAGTGTCTGAATATTTTCAAAATTGATTAAAGATATCAAAGCGTAAATTGAAGAAGTCTCAATATTTCCTAGAGGAAAAAATGAAAAGAAATTTATAATTAAACACAACACAGAAAATCTACATAAAATCCAACTATAACAAGTATTAAAATCAATTGTTAAAAAAAGAGAAAGATTTCCTTCAAATGAGTGTTCACAAGACAGCTGACTTTATAATGAAAAGAATGGAAGCTAGAAAAATTGAAATGTTCCAGTAACTGAAAGAAAACTCCACCTAGAATTCTATACTCCGCAAAAAATACATTTAGGGGCAAATATATAAGCTTTCAATTCTGCTTTAACTGCATCTCACAGTATTTTCATTCATCCATTCCAAAATATTCTCTATTCCCTTAACTTCTAAAGATATGGAGAATGTTTTAGTTATCTGTTTTAATTTTTAGTCTAATTATTTAGGATCAGAGATCATAACCTTTGTGACTTCAGTCAACTGAAATAGGTGGGGAATTGGTCTGATATATGAACCAATTTTGTAAATGTTTAAGTGGACATATGATGTCTGTCAAAATGACGCTACAAAACAGTGGTAAAAGGATAAGAGTCAATAAATTATACTGGGCAATTGATATGCATATAGACATAGTAGAAACATACCCCTATAAATCATGTCTAAATGAATTATTAACATAAAATTGCAATAATAAAAAATAAAATTATTTTAGAAAGAATATGAGACTACCTAATTAATTTTGTAATAGGGAAAGCCTTCATAAATAAGAAAAAATACAACTAGCCATAAGAAAAAAATCTGAGGAAACTAAACACTTTAGAATTAAGAACTTCTTATGGATGAAAGGACAGGATGTCTAACTTTTGTTTTAAAATAATTTGGGCTAGAGAGGAGTAAGAAAGAATAAAGATTAAATAAAACAGTATACATTGACAGTTATTGGTATTGTATGATGGGTATCTGGTGGACTATTGTAATATTTTTACACCTTTGTAAAAAAAGTGTTAGGTTTCATAAGAAAAAAGTTGTAAAATAATTGAAAGGAAAATAAGCTGAGATTTCCATGAATTTTGTTAAACTATTAGTATTTAATATGGTAAATTGCTCCTCAACCCTCACAGATGAAATACTCTCACTTATTTAGTGCTTCACTAAAACTTTGTTATCTGCTTTAGAGCTTTTAGTCATATATTTTATATAGTTAAACTCTGTAATTTATAATTTAAATTGTGAATATTCTCCTGGTCATCAGCAAATTGCTTCTGAGTCCCTCTCCTTACTCCACAGCATAGGACAATAGAACTTTTTTTTTATATTCCCCAAATACGTAATAAAATCATTTTATAAGTCAGGTAAATATTGCTTAAGACTAAGTTACATTGTCAGTAATATTGTAAGATATTATGGTAGAATTTCAAACAGTTAAAAAGTGTCATTTTTCATTTCTGGCTCAACATGAACCTCACCTCCGTAATTCTGAGTCAGTTTTCTCTGCTATAATTGATCTTGCTCCTTTGCGAGTGGTATTTAGCCTGAATCATCAAGGGAAAAAAAACTCCTAATTTATGTTAACGCATGGATTTTCTTCATTCAATTTCCCTATTATTAAAGCAAAATCTAGCAAAGCAGAAGACATTGTAATAAAATATAATAGACAATCAAATTTTGAAGCAAGATGTGAAAAGGACTTTAAAATTTGTAGTTGAGCTAAGGGGTATTCAAATCTATATACTTCCTTTGGTAATCTACATTAGGCTTGCTAAGAGAGGCAGACCAATTAATACTGTCTTGAGATGATTAACCACCTGTGACTTACGAATTTATTCCTTAAGACTGTAGCAAATGATCCATCTTTTCTCCATAAGCAATATCAGTTTTTATAATTATACAAGTACTAATATAATATACGCATCTCTGCAGGGAGACATATGTGTAAAAAGTATAACCAAACCAGAAGTAACCTTAGAAATTTTGTGTTTTAACCCATTCATTGCGTAAGAAGGGAAAATAATATACAGATAGGTTATCACTTATATTTACTTGAGAGTGAGTACATAAACATACAAATACACCTATATATTTTATGATTTCCTTTTAAGAACTATTATTTCTAAATGTTTATCGAACATGCCACTGACTAGCCATTATTTATATTTGGGTATATGTATTAGTCCATTTGTCACACTGCTGATAAAGACATATCCAAGACTGGGAAGAAAAAGAGGTTTAAGTGGACTTAAGAGTTCCACAGGGCCGTGGAAGTCTCAGAATCATGGCGAGAGGTGAAAGGCACACGTAGTGGCAGCGAGAGAAAATGAGGAAGAAGCAAAAGCAGAAGCCCCTGATAAACCCATCAGAAATTGTGAGACTTATTCACTATCATAAGAATAGCACTGGATGAGAATAGCATGAGAGAAGCCCCCATGATTCAATTATCTCCCCCTGGGTCCCTCCCACAACACGTGGAAAGTCTGAGAAATACAAAACATATTAAGTTGAGATTTTAGTGGGGACACAGCCAAACCATATCAGTACGTTTTAAAGGTCTTTTGTATTTCTAGCTATCTGTCTATTTCCTGACTGTATGGTCAAACCTTGTGCTAGGTATTGGTGAACAAAGTTAAGAAAGAGAAAATCTTTTTATTATAAATGGTGGAATATCCAACTGTACCTGGTTTAAAGAATAAACATTCATATTCAGAAAGTGGAGGATTATTACAGCATAGATTTAACGATACCTGTACAACATTCTAAGGAAGATGGACTTTGTCTTCCAATCAGAGAGGATCTAAAGAAAGATCACAAGAGAGGGTGACAGTATCAGATATTTCTAAGTATGAATGATTTTAGAATAATGATGTAACAATATGAAGGGAAGATTGGTGGATGAAAATAAAGTGCTTACAAAACCAGTTAGGAGCTTGTATTAATAATCCAGATGAAAGACATAGGCTCTAAACCAAAGCAATAGTACTTTATGTGAAGATGAACTGCTATAGCTAAAATATACATAATTAATAGAATTTAACATCTATTTTATTTAAAATTTGTCCATTATTATACATATATATAATATGTCATAAGAAAGAGAATTTCTGTTAGGACCTAGCCATTATTATTATAGACTGTACATTTTATTATTAATACAAAGCAGATCTTTCTATTTAGAAAATTGAATGTGATATGAAAAATTAAAAACATTTCTAAATGGTTAGAATATACTGCCAGAATTTTATCTGCTTCTAAAATAGAACTATAAAAGCCTATTTCAGAAATAGAACATTCTTAAAGCCAGATTGCTAACAATGTCTATAAGTTTTAGAGGAAAAAAGGCCTAATGATAAAAAGTTCAAAGTAATTAAAAACAAATTCAATTACATTACAAATATTGCAGGAGATATCTTTAACATGAAATTCACTATAAATGCAGATTTTTTAAGGAAAATTTCATTCTAGTTTCTTGAGAAAAAAATTAGAGCATCCCATAAACTGTAATCTACTGAAGACATTCAATAAAGATCTTTGCATCTTTTACAATGCCATATATGGTACTTGCTAAATCAAAGACCAAATGCCAGACATTATAAGAAATGTATGTGATCGTTCATAATTGGGAGGAGGGGAGGTTCATGAACTATATCAGGATCTGATGTGAGCTATGGCTCCTCTCTTCAGAACCATGCATACATATATGCACATGTGTATATAATTTTATATTCAATTTTAGAGCCCGTAAAACCCATCCATGGAATCCAGGTTACAAAATATGAACTAAAAATAAGAGTTTATCAGTGTTTTTCAATTTGTAAAAAAAAGTTTTCATGAGCAAAATATGTTTCTATTAGTATACAGATAAAGTCACTAACACATAGCTACAGGGAAAATCTTACATAATATATGCCTTAAACATGTCATGCCTTTGGCATGCACTTATAGACATTAGAATAAGTAAAATAATACCTTGAAACTTAGGAAGAAGAATAGAAAAAAAATTCTTTTATCTTAAGTGTAATAACTTAGTTAAGCTAATAATAAATAAGCCCAACCCTAAAGTAAATAAAATAAGATAAACAAAACTGTTATAAATTATCTGCTGATTAACCTGAGTCTTTGAACCCATACCTGATTATTTGGAGGTCTCTTTCAGGGCAGGTAGAGAAGACATTAAACCATGTTTCATGAACTGAATTAAACCCTTCCAATTTGAGTCCAGATTGGCTAAAGAGACAATGAGGTAACTGGCTAGACACCATTTCCTGCAAATGTGATCCCCAAGGAATTATGAATCAAAATTCCTGAAACTATCTGTATGTAGCAAATTGAGCCCATAATAAAAATTCCAGAACTAATGTCCACTTTGACAAAATGAGAGAAAGGTAGATTTAAATCATCAAAATTTATAACTGTTTTTTACTCTGATTTCAACATAAACAGTATGTGAGAAGAAGACTAGGAAGGAGAAAATCTATAAATAACTTTGCCCAATTTTTTCATCATTTCAACCATCTACATTTCGTGATGCAAATCACTAATGAAAAGGTTTTAAACCATCAGCAAAGAGCTAAAAAAAATTGTAAGAGCTGCATAGAGTGACAAAGCTGGAATTTTCAGTGCTTTTCACTTAATTTGGACATTAAAGATGAATCTGAGGATTTTATGGCTGCTGCTTAGACACACCAGAGGCTTATATCTTTGTAACCTGATGTGTTTTTTCTACTATTGTGCTCATTTCACAGGCACGTTACTTTTCCAAGGCTGATTTGACTTATCAAAGACCAAATCCTTGCTACATATACCTCATGAGATAATTTACAACTGAATACTCTTGGAACTTTGTTTTCAGCTGATAATTTGAAACAGTGGTATGTTGGAGCTGGCTTATCCCAGCTGAGAGAGCCTATTGTTAAGCATGCAGACATTTTGTAGTCTTGTTGCTAAGCATTTGGTAGCTTGAAATAGGTCATGATGGAAATATTTATACCACAAAAATTGGCAAATACTCACTCTTGTTGCCCAGGCTGGAGTGCAGTGGCACAATCTGGGCTCACTGCAACATCTGCCTCCCAGGTTCAAGCAACTCTCCTGCCTCAGCTTCCCAAGTAGCTGGGATTATAGGCATGAGCCACCATGCCGGTCTAATTATTTGTATTTTTAGTAAAGATGGGGTTTCTCCATGAGGGTCAGGCTGGTCTTGAACTCCCAACCTCAGGTGATCCACCTGCCTTGGCCTCCCAAAGTGCTGGAATTACAAGCGTGAGCCACCATGCCTGGCTTGTTTTACCTTCTAAGAGTTGGTTTACCAGCACATTATTGTGCTGGTAAAGTATAGAAAATATTTATATTTTATTCTCTAATAGACATAGAAAGGTAAAAAAAATATATAGTGAATTGGAAGAAAATTTAAGAGAAATTAGCAAATGTTTATGTATGATATTGATATTTTTTTGAAGTCAGAGTCCCCATGGAAGCCAACAGCACTGCCTGCTAACCTGAGTCTAATATTCACTAGATTCTATCCAAAACACCAGCAGAGATTAGAGAAATATATTACTTGCTGTCAACTATGCTTTAATATCCACCCTACCTTGTCAACCTAGGAAGTGGAGCTAATAGAGACATTTCAATGATCACCTGACGTCTCAAACCCAGGAACTAAGTTTCTCTTGATTTTTGTCTTCCCCTAATATGAAGACTGAATTTGCAAAGTAATAGTAGTGGTAATAGTGTTCACAAATTGTTTGTCTACTGAATGCTATAAACTTCCATAAGATATTTTCTTCCTCATGGAAACCCTAGAAATCAGGCAATATTGCCCCATATAAAAAAATTAATTTGCTCAAATTAAGTGAAAGTCATAATTTTAACCCAGATACGTCTAGTTCCAGAGAACATTTGTTTTATTATACTAGTATATATTTCTCAAACTTGATTAACTCATGCATGCATTTTTAAAGAAAAATGAATCCCCCAGACATCCAATATTGATTTATATTATTTTTGTAAGAGGAACACAAATATATGTATTAAATTGTATCTCTTTAAATGTAGTAGCATAATTATAAAAAATCTACCTCTCTTACCTCAAATTGCTTCTAAGAATAAATTAATAAAGAATCATTGATGTAATTGGTTGATGATGATGACCATCATCATTATGGTATGCCAGCAATTGGAAACGCTGTGACAAAACACATTAAAAGAAAGCATGCCCATTTTTATCTGGTCTGGCCAAGCACACAGGACAGATGCATGAAGACATATGATGTATGTGTTTACCCCTGTGTGAAACAACAATAAAAGATCCCTTAGACCTATTGGGGGACAATGGAAATTTTTGCTGCTTATCTTGGGACATTCTGATACTCAACCTCTACTTATAAACTATGTAATTATTCTTCTTAAGTTGTAAATATGGGAACTAAGGGGCTAAGTCACCCTTCTATTTGTGGATTGGGAGCAAAGTCTCTTGGTGACCCTCAAAACATTTCACTTTCTACTATTTGATAAGGGACATAAGGTATGCAACTGTTTGACTACTTCTATGTGTATTACTTCACATTTAACCATGCTATTTAAAAAAGCTACATAAATAAATAGTGAGAATAACATTTTACATTATTTATTGGTCTTTGTGCCCATTTGACTTCTAGAAGGAAACAGACACAGAAAAAATGAGAAAAGTTGTGGAAGGAGCTATTTAAAAGTGTGTAGACAAAGTTAAGGAAAACCAGCATGATATACATCTGCCTGTCATTTCACAAGCAAATTATATCCTATACAATTGATATAAATTTCCATTTCTGATTCCACTTTATTACTCTGCTGCCTAAAATGCATGGTGAAGTCTTCCTAGGCCATTCAATATAAGAGCTAGAGTTTATTTTTAAGGAAAATAATGTCTTACTTTATTAAAAAGAGAACACTAGTTACACTAGTTTTTATTAGCATAGTTGACTTATTTTTAAAGATTACCTATAAGCTAGAAACTAACAGTGTACTTAATATTTTATACAATATAAAGGAAGCCCCATTGCATTCCAGTTTAGTGATATAGATAGTCAAAGTGAGATAAATCACTGATTTAAAAGATTTAAGCAGTTTTTAACTTTGGATCATTTTGTTTTGATCTCCTAAATAGTGATCTACCTTTCATTCAATAAAAATAATTGTTTTATAATTAATATCTTTAAGTTTCTGTACTTATATTTATAATTTTTTTCATTTTTTTCTTTTCATGCATTTATTATAATTTGTATGACATATATTAATTGAATTAGTACCTAAGATTAAGAATGAATAAGAAACTCTAAGAATAATATTATAGTAAAAGAAAAAAGCAGTTAACTTTTTTATATTAACAATGTTCAGAAATAATTTTGACATTGGTTTTTAAATTTTAATAATATTCAGTCATTTATAATATGACAAGGCCTTGTAATCAAAGGGAAGTAAAGTTTTCAAGTAAAATTTTGAAATGAAAGAAATGTAAACAACATAATTTCACATAGATTGTGTCAAAACAGATTTTACATGTATAGTAAGCAATCTTAAGGTCCAAGTAGTGCAATAAAAAGAGTGTGGCCGTAGGAATAAGACAGGTCTTGGTTTGAATATCAGCTCTTTCAGTAGCTCATCCTGTAAATCTGGGTTGACTTATTTACCACCTTTGAACCTTAGTTTCCAATTTTCAATAGGAATTATTAAAAGCCATTTTAGAAGCTTCTCCTGGTGCAGTGCCCAGAATATAGAAAGTGATTAATAGCTAGTAGCATTATATTAATGTTTATT